CCTTGTCTTCTGGATTGGTTCAAAATTACAAGGCTACGGAGTTGAACGTAAGTAGTCGTAAACCCATGAAATTGGGTCGGCTGTTCAACGACGGTTATAAAATAAAATAAAATCACATCTTTTTAGACCGGGATAGCCTGGTTGGTAGGGCACTGGGCCCATGCCCAAGAGTTCGTGGGTTCGATCCCCGCCGGCCGAAGAATTCCCGTGTAGTAAATGGTGACTGATGCACGTTAAATCTGTGGAGTCACAAAGCCCTTCATGTTCCCATAACAAATCATACCTCTGGGGGTACTGATCCATGAGTTTCCTTGTCTTCTGGATTGATTCAAAATTACAAGGCTACGGAGTTGAACATTAGCAGTCGTAAACTCAAAATTGGGCCAGCTGTTCAACGACGGATATAAAAATAAAATTAAAAAAATCACTTCTTTTTTAACCGTGGTGGCTCAGAAGATAAAGCGTTTGCCTTCCAATGAGGTGAACCGGGTTCGAATCCCAGCGAAGGCTGGTTAAAACAAATTCCGCATCCGTCTCACACCGATCACAGTGCCTGACGTAAAATATTCCCAGTGATGGATTTGAGTCCGCTTACCGACAAGCTTACCGTGAGAGGTTTTCGTGGTTTTCCTCTCCATGTAAAGCAAATGCGGGTGAGTTCCATCATAAAGTCCTCCACTCAGCCAATTTCTCCCAATACTTGATCTAGGAGTTCTCCTGTCTTCTGGATTGGGTTCAAAATTACAAGGCTATGTAGTTAAACATTAACCCAAAAAAAAAAGGGTCGGCTATTAAACAAAGGCTATAAAATATAAAAAAATAAATAAAATCACTAGTTTTTAGAGCCATGTTGACTCAGGAGACAGATCGCTCGCCTCCCAATAAGGTGACCCGGGTTCGATTCCCTGTGATGGTGGTCAATACGAATTCCGCATCCAGCTTGCACCGACCACATTGCTGACGCAAATATATCCTCTGTGGTAAACTGGTCATAGGTTAAAGTCCCCTGCCATCAGGCTGACCGTGGAAGACTTTCGTGGTTTTCCTCTCCATGCAACGCAAATGCGGATTGGTTCCATCACAAAGACCACCACGAAGGCAAATTTCTCCCAATAATTTATCAAAGTTAGGGCTGTCTTATTGGCATGCAAGACCCCCGGGACACAGAAATGTTTTAAGCCCCTTCAGTTACAGCACGTCATACTGTTTAAAATTGAGCTACAAAACATTCACATACATAAAATTAATCATTTATATGATAGATATAATTTTGAAAAATTTGAGATGGTAACCATTTGTAATCCTCAATACTTAAAATTTAAGAAACTTTTAAAAGCATAGAAGCTATTTAAAATAATTAAATGAATAAAAGGTATAACAAGAAAAAAATGTAATATTTTACTAAACTATTGTAAAGAAACTTTGCGAACATTGGTGAGGCGTTTTTAGAGACATGAGCTAACTTATAACTTTTCAACATTAATTTGTCCTACAGAGACATTTTTCAGCAAAGCAATATGTTAACATTTAAAAATTACATATTTATGTTTATTTAAAGTAAGGCAAATTCCCTTTAGCAATTAAACTACAAAGTAAAAAAGGAAATATGAGCATTTTGTCAAATTAAAAGTGTTTGTATAAAGAAATTTTTTTTTATTAATTGAAAGATTTTTAAAAAAAAAAACCCATTTGGTTTACATGTATACGGCTTAAGCCACATTGGTTTAAATCAGCATTAAACTAATCATCAATCTGCATTAAACAGCATCAACATTAAACTAATCATCAATCTGTATTTAAAATCATGAGACATGAAATAATTTTCTTTTGCTTTGATACTTGCGTAATTCATTGTTACTGCACTTACATAATATAATTAATGTATTATAAAAATAATTACTCACTCATTAGAATAGATTTATCCAATCGAATATATTTCAATCATTAGATTTATTCAATAGAATATATTTCTTTCAAAATTTATAAAACAATGCATTTCTTCTTTCTTTTTAAAATATAATTTTTCGAAAGTAAGATTCTCAAGAGCTCCCTAAGTATTTGGGGCCCCAGGGCACTGCCCAGGTCATGCCCATGCGTAAAGACGGTACTGTTCCCTTGTCTTCTGGATTGGGTTCAAAATCATAAGGCTACGGGTTGAACATTATGGTAGTCGTAAACTTAAAATTGGGTGGGCTGTTCAACAACGGTTATACAATAAAATCATTAGTTTTTAAAATTAGTTACTTAGTTTTTCACTTCATATGGCACTTCTATATGATAAATTTTTTTTTATAGTGTTTTTAAAATGACCAACTTTCGCAACAACAACAAAGCGCAGACTGAGGCCAAAAACTAGCAAATACCTGAACAAATATTTTATTTGGAATGATCTGATTATACATCAGAAAACGTTGTTTCATAGCTATTCCAGTCTCAATGAAAAACTGTTGACCAACTGCGTAACTAACATGAATTATCTGGCAGAACCCAATAAACCTCTTTCAATTTTCAATTCAGCTTTTAATTTAATTGTTTTTTCAAATCGTTGGTCATTATTTAGATCGGAATCTTGTCCATTCCCTTGAAAATGTGACACTTGTGTCCTTTACTCAATTTATTTTTCCAACAAAGGTTTTCCTTTTCTAAAAGAACTACTGAATTTATAACCAGTTACACTTTTTAAAAAGCATTAAATTTATCAAATCATAATTATAAAGACTATCAACTCAAATTAAGTGTGTAAAATGTCACTTCTGTCCCCTGTCTCTAACCTTACATCTATATACTAAAAATAAATCTTTTATGTAATTGCAAAACAAGTGCATGTTAACAAAAATATAATGCATATTTTTGTTGTTAAATGTAATGGTTATTAGAAATGTATACGATATTTTTGATCATCCTTTTTAAACTTTCACAATCCAACAGAAACACACTGTCTCTTTGTTGACCTGTCACAACTGTTCCTTACTACAATTATTATTAAATTAGCCACTAAAAAGCCACAAACGGAATCAAATATGAATGAATAATTTGTATGATTCTTTATCTTTTATATCAGGCGAAATATGATAAATTATTTTCCGACTAAAGGTTAAAGATTTGCATCCCTTTAAAGACAACGAATATTTTTGTTAATCTTCTCCACTATCACCTACTAAATTTAATTTTCCTTACAAATTAATTTATATTTTACAATAAATAATCCTCTTCTAAGAGCTAATTTAAAAAAAAAACGCATGAAACGGCTATTATGCCTAACTAGATTTAGATAGTATACTATAATTTTAATACTTAGTCACTTCTGCCTCGGTCACTATTGTCTCTTTTAAAAGTGTGTTTTAAATATTATTTTTCTTGCTTTAACATAATAAATAATTTTTTTTAACAAATATATACATTAAGTGTTTAAACAAAATACGTTTCATAACAATCAATACTGAGTAGTTTGACAGTGAATACTGGATATTAATACTCTCATTTAATTAAAAGTACTTCATAAATTATGTTTTATAATCTTGAACACACATTCTGAAGAATATAGAGCGTTACTTCTACAATGCCCATATTGTCTAGTCAATAAAGGCTAACCCGAATTATCATTGGCTTATAAATGCCATTTTTCTTACTTCCTTTCTTCTTTTTTAACGTGAAATAATATCATTTGTGTTTTTAATTTAAAGTATTTCGATGATTGAAAAACACTGATTAATTTTATTGAGCATAGTATTTTTTTAATCGATTATTGAATTTTTTTTTAAAAATTGGACTTAATTACATGATTTAAACAGCAAAATAAAAAAAACATTTAGATTTTAAAACTGTTTGGAGAAACTCTAATTATTTAGCTTCCTGATGATGTGGTTTCAATAAAATCTATCTAAAAGATCTTATTTTGGCCAATTATATATAAATTTAGTACCTAGTTTTGCACTCTTTTAAGTCTATGTGTTCAAAACCAACTGACATGGTAGCAATCACTTTCAAAGATGGACCTAAAATAAGAATAAAATGCAAAGTTAAATTATATTTATGTACCTGTGGTTCTTAATGATTTTATGTCGTAACTGATGTTTTCAAGTTTACAAGAAATAAGCTTGAAAATCAATATACATGCCGCACGACATATTTCCTCTGAACTAATGCCAAATTCTACCCCAGAAAATTGTGAACGTATTTTTAATAAATGATTTTCAATACACATATGAATATCAGATGCACAAAACCACAAATGCCAAAATCGTGATATACAACAGGATTAGGATTCGCATTAAATTTGACAGCGAATCGGTAGTTCTGTACCGGGCACGTATATGTGGCTATTAACCTTTGTGGAGTAATGTAATATCGACAATGCCCACCTTTATCTATCAAAAGGTACCTCAACGTGGAATCAAGTTAACATGTCTTATGCCTCTATCACACGAGAGAAAAATATGTGCAACTGCAAGTGTAACTGCAAGTGTAAGTGCAACTGTAAGTGAAATTCCTCCGTTCGGAGTTGCCGAAAGGGTTGCTTAATTGCCTGAACGGTTGCATGTAATTGGGTTACCATATTTTGTTATTTATCTTTACTTTTGGCTCATTTTTTATTTTATCATATTTTATTATATCATAGTTTCTGAACGATGTTCGTAAAGGGAGGAAAAAGAAATCACAGACGCTGTAGAATATTGATTGATTTTGATTTAATTTTTTACATTTGTATTTGTGTTAAGTCTTTTCTTCAGCAGGAAATTAAAATTCTGAAAACTTTATTTCCCCATTAGTGAAGTAGCATAGTATAAAAAGGATTATGATTTCTACCTCATAATATGAGATGATATTAAGATATCATTGAATTTCATGCTGCGTCCCTGAAAGGATAAGGGGGTGAAAGGGAGATGGACTTAAATACATGCTGCGTCTCTAAAAGGATAAGGGGGTGAAAGGGGGATGGACTTAAATACTATCTAGAATTTTGACAATTTTTTTTATCTTGATTTGAGTGACTAAGGTATAAAACATGGTGCGTAGCGTTTTTGAAAAGTGCTTAAAGGTGCTTATTTTCGATTTTCATTTTTTAAAGGCCCTTAAAGGTGCTTTTCTTAATGGGTGTTTTTAAAAGGTGCTTTATTTTCCCTTTTCGAAAATGAAATTTATGAAAGGGAATGTCGATTTTCGCCACGTATTATGTAAAAACGTGTTTTTCACATTTTTCTATTTCACGTTTTCAGAATTCATTCAACCACGATCAATTTCAGCGTACCGTCAGTCCATAGCGTATGAAAGCGCCAATCATTTTACAGGTTTGGTGAAGTACTTGCGAGTCCGCATGTGCGTCTAGTGAGCTGGGTTCGGTGAGATCCTTGCTTTCTCATGTGCAACTCTGCTGTATTTTGCAAGATATTCTCAATTTCAGGCTTTATTTTTCACCCTCTGAAATCGAACCGAAAAATCTCTTGATCATTTTTTAATGGCTAATATAATCAAGAAAAGAGTTCTTTGTCAAATTCTAGTTATTTTATCATGATCATGTGAAGTCTGAGATTTATTTTGCATTTTGTCAATTTACATAGTGCTTAAAAATATTTTTTGAGTGCCTAAAATGTTCTTAAAAGTTGCTTATTTTTTGTTGAATTTGGCTCCGCACCCTGTAAAAGCATAGTTTATTTATATATATTTACTATCTAACATGCTAGCTAGGCAAGTGCGGTATCGTTATCTATGTATACGCTAAATCGAATGAGAATAAAAACAAGCTGTCTGATTTAATAGTTTAGCTACTCGAAAATTTATAAAAGTTTCATGTGTAGAAAGGACAATTTTATGACTTATACCATTTTATGCAACTGACATTGCTATCTAAACAAGTAAGGCATTTCTTCAAATTTAATTTTTTAAGCTTAATTAAAAAACATAGTCCTTTGAAATAATTCTTTAGAAGAAATGAGGGTTTAATGTATGAAATATACAATTTTTGACTTTCCTTTTGCTCATAAAATATTTATAACATCAAAACTATTAGTTCTATCAAATCAATTCTATTTTTTTAATTTAGTCTAAAAAATACATAATAAATAATGTCTATACTACTAATGTCTATACTTGTCTATACTACAATGTGTCAGAATTTTATTGTCATCAAATTAATTTACATTGCATTAAGGAATCATCACGCCCGGTGGCTGAGCGGTAGCTCTTCGCGCTGTCGTGCCACAGGTCCCTGGTTCGATCGTCGGGCCGAGCAAGGTTGACTCAGCCTTTCATTCCTTCAGTGGGTCGATAAATGAGTACCAAGCATACTTGGGAGCTAAACACTGGGGGTTTCACGTATGGCTGACTACCTAACCGGAACAAATGCTCCTGCATCCCAGAGCCCAAAGGTCAAGAAAACTGAGATGGGCACAGAAGGCCTTGGCCCTCTGTGGGCTGTGCCGCTGAGTTTAGTTTAGTTTTTAAGGGATCATCAATTTTATTCATTTACACATTGCATATCAGGAGTATCACTTTTATGAAAATTATTTTTTCCAATTTCTTAGTAAAATTGTTTTTTAAATATAAGAGGATTTTCAATGTCATACTTACAATTTATTATTGTAAAATTTAAAACATTCTTTATTGATATGAGATAATTTAATTAAAAATTATAGGATTTATTTTAGGACAAATTTATTGTAATATACAGTATATAAATTAAAATTTATTTATAACTATGAAAAAAAAAACAATATTTTATTAAGAACATACTTTTTATGTATCATATTATTTTGTTACAGACTTTTACATGTTTTGTTTTGCATTTTAAATAATACAAGAATCAATTTAAAAAACAAAACATTTATTGTCAAGTGAAACATTTAGAACATTATTCATTTTCATTTCTTATTTTTTAATTTCTTTCATAAAAACAGTATTGCATCTCTTTCCTTCTTCACCAGACAAACCTTACAGGATTATACGAAATATCTGAAATAAAAGAAAGAAATCACTTTCATGATAAAATTTTACCAACACATTATTAGAATAAGAGAGATTAAATACCATTAATTTGAAATCATTTAAGTCCTTAGGTATCCCCTTTAAACTTATTTTAAGTTTGACAGATATTTTGATTAGAGTTCTAAGATTATTCTATACACTAATGAAAGATGGCAGGTATATTTGGTTTTGTAGTTCTTATGTTTGGATTGAAATTTGTTTTAAGAAAAATAGATTGTATTTATGATCGAAGACTATTAAAAATTTATGTATATTGAAAAATTAGTAAGGTACACTTACATACTTACTGTCATTGTAGAAAAGCTAAGTATCAAAATATAAATGTGAAGTATAAATAAAAAGTAAAGTATCATTAGTAAATCATCACACACACAAAAAAAAAAAGAATTGAGGGGATGAATGTAGAAACAGACAAGGAGATTGGAAATTTGCATTTTAGATTTTCAAAAATTAAAAGAATTCTTAGGGAAGAATAAAATAATTAATTCACAAATAATTATAATAATAAAAAAATTTCAAATAATCGGACACATGCTTTTACAATCAACAGTAATAAAGTTTAAAATTTGAAAATAAAGAAATATAATCATTATTATATTTTATGTTATAATAATGTAACAAAGTTTGGCGAGTTGCTTGGCGAATATTTCAAAGTAAAGCTTTTCGCCAGTATAAATCTTTACATATATAAAAATAGAAATTATTTCTATTTAAAGTAATTAAAACTTTGATCGGAACAAATTATAATAAGTTTTAATTTTATTAGCTTAAAATAAATAAATATTTTAAAAGAAAATTTATCTAGAAAATAGTGTACTATACTCACCGATACTAAAATGATGTGCAGGTTCCTGTTATGGTAGTACATCAACTGCATTGAGATGGTTATTTCATCGTGTGAAAGTATTTTTAATGCTTTGATTTTAAAGAAAATGTTATTATTAAACTAAAAAACTGTTCCGTTTCGTCTATAAAAAAATTTCATCCGATCATCCTCTTCACCAACGTCGCCGCCATTTTTATTTACATTTGTATACGTCATCACATAAAATTGAAACGTCATAAAAGCAAACGATCTGATTGGTTCATGAAAGAAATTGCCTGAACGGTTGCAGATATTTCGTGCAACCGTGATTTCTATATCACACGAGCAATTTTTGGAGAAATTTCACTTACAGTTGCACTTACACTTGCAGTTACACTTGCAGTTGCACATATTTTCTCTCGTGTGATATAGCCATTATATCCTAATGAATTGGAATTGTATATTTGTAGTGGTAGATACACTACAGTACTCCCCCACCAGAATTGTATTTGTGATAGAATTCGAGGAATGGATATCACTAATTGATTCATTGCTGTTTTGTGAGAAGCCGGGAGAGCTGTATTAAGATCACCGAAGTTTTGAGTGCTGATCGTGAGAGCTGTATTAAGTTCACGGTCGTGGTCTCTCCTATGTTGCCGTGAGCAGTCGAGTGTATACAGGCCGATGTTGTGTGTAATTTGGATTGAGTAGCAACGGCGCCAGGAGGTGGATAATGTCGCATTCACAAGTAGCAAGTCAACTGCTCATCAAGTAGAAGTGGGCGTTACTGTTAAGATAGGGGTGTTTATTTCAAAGTGGGAGCTTCTGCCAAGGTAGGCATATTCACATCACGACCGGGTCACCAATGTGGGGTAGTGTAATATCGACAATGCCAACCTTCATCTATCAGAAGGTACCTCAACATAGAATCGAGTTAACATGTCTTATATCCTATTGAATTAGAATTGTATATTTGTAGAGGTAGACTACACCTAAAAAACATCAGTGTATGAAATATCAGGCAGAGATTGGCCCTTAACTTAAAAAAATACCAGTATAAGGAATACCAAGCGATGGTTTAAAGCCAAAAAGATGCATCTCTTGTTATCAAAATGGTTTCAATCTTTTTCTTATTTTTCACAAAACTTAATGCTATATTATTTTACGGAGCTATGACAAAACCTCCTAGAAGAGAGAAGGCCCTTGTATGGATCAATTTAGTAGATCTACATAAGGAGCAGAAATTGCACAGTGGGAGAAATAAGTAAGATATACTTACATTCAGGTTACAAAACTGTGCAGTGGGGGAAATACGAAAGATGTCACTACGTTCGAACTACTAAGTGATCGGATTTATCGTTTATGGTAACCCGAGCGTAGGCCTTCTCTCTCCTAGGAGATGTATGGTTATAGCTTGAGAAAGAAATGCAATGCTCAGCTTAGATCCATTCTTAGTTTTGACCAGACGTCTACATATACATTTGGTTAAAATCATTCATGTTTAGATTATATAGGTTTAGATTATATAGCTGCATTATTTAATCAGGTATTTTTGAATCTTAAATCTGCGTTTTGCTGTCACGTAGTTAAAGAAAATATTTATTTAATAAAATTAGAATAATGGCTTATTAGATTTCAGCCTTCATTTGAAAGGCGATTTCTGACATATAAGTGCAAAGCAATAGTGCTCTCACCAGTACCATAGTTGAAAATCGTTTCTCGGCATAAAGTATCCAGAACAATGATGCCGGAGGCAGTAGGCATTTATCCAATAGATATATTTCAAAGGTAATTTTTGGTATATGCGTAATCATGGGTAACTTATAACGAAGTACTCATTAATGCCAAGGAAAACGGCACGATTGCCGTAACACTCATTTAAATTATTGAAGCGTTGGTATGTAAAATTTAAACGCTTTTTTTCACTAATCCATTTTCTAATTCAAGCTGATAATTTTAAGTAACAGAATAGATAAAACGGATTGGAATTCATTACAACAATTTTCTTCTAGATGAAGTGACTTATAAATTTTGATATTTTTTATCACATCTTAAGCCAAGAATTTTTGTTGAAATTGGGTACACATTAATGTAATCGTATCAATTGTTAATTAGTTATCAGAATATGCACCATAGTTTAATAATTTATCACATCTATAAATATCTGCACTTATAATTTATTATATTTGAAGGAAGACAAATTTTGAAATTAGTAAAAATAAGCGGTACCTGCTGCCTCAATTACACCTCTATCAATAGGATCAGTTAACATGCAAAGCAGACCGTCTTTCCCAGGAATTTTCTTCAAAAGCTCTTCTTTCGAGATCGGTTTTTCTTCACCATATACATCAACGTCACATCTATAGATTCAAGTCATTTATTAGGCAGTTTGTTTCTTAAATATTTTTCAACAAATTAATGTAAAAAAATGAGAATAAAAAAAAGAAAACGTAACTAAAACGACTATATTACACCCGTAGTCTATACAGTCACGTGTGACTTGCGGTAAAAAGTTTTCTTTTTTAATATTTTATTTTTCCTAACTAGGCATTTTATCATCAGCTTTCGACTCACTCAATCTGCTATCTATATTTTAATAATCGCCTTTAACGCTCTAAATGGGTGCATGCAAGTGATGTAGTGTAGGTATCTCGATCTTAATTGGCTGTTGAAACGTGGCATTTGTTTACGTTAGCAACTGCTCTTTCCATTCCATTTCGAATAAGTCAAGCCCAACAAGTATCAATTCTCTTAAGTGACACATTCTATATTCTTACACAAAGATTCTTTTCCTAAGATTTCAATTCTTTCACTATATATTTCTAACTTTACACAAAAACAGGCACGAAGCCAAGTAGAACATAAACAAACTAATGATGCATCGAAGTTGCCACGTACACAAAACAAAAATATGTCACGGTTACAATGAAATACGTAAATAAATAATAAATCTAAGTTAAGTAAAAGACGTAGACGAATTATATTTCAAGAAATTCGATGTGCGATACGGTGTTGTATTTAATTAACCCCATGTTGATTAATTTCATGTTAATTAACATTCCAACTTATGTCGAGAAAATGAACTTAAACACGTCATTTTGCTTATAAATGATCAGTTGGCGCTGACGTCATTGATCACTTGTGTGGGTATCCTTCATCTTCTTCTGAAGTGCGAGTACCCAATTGTGATAAGAGTTGTTGACTATTCCCGTTTCAGACCGTGCGTTCTGAGATTACCATAGTGGACAACTATAGTAAACTGTTCAGTTTGTGACATAGCTGAATTAACTGTTAACTGAACTTAAAGTTAAAACTTGAATATTTTCCTCATAAAGGCCTCATTTTGCTCTGAGTATAAGTGAAAACCGGAATCATTATCAAGGAAATGTGTTGAAATCAAAAATATTTGGGGCATTCCTTTTTAATAATAAATTGAACGAAATAAGAGAGAACATTGTTACTGATATTAATCTTCTTTGATTACTGGTTTATGAAATTTAATTTAAGAATTTACATATCTAAAGAAATTTTTAAATAATGTTAATTTTAAAAATCTAAGTTAGCAACTGTTATTTATAAATTAAAAAAAATATGAATAAAGATTTGCTTAAACTATTAACCACAGGTACTAATCTTTTGTTCAACTCGTGGCACGATGTGGACTTTTTATTTAATAGTTATGAGTTATATCATCACGTCTCAAGAAATTGCTTTGTCGAAAAATGTCGCCAAGCTCATTGCAGTGGTAGTTGGGATATTACTGAATCGTGGTATTAACAAATGCCTCAATTTAGCAGATAATTAGGTTCGACACCCTCACGCAGGGCCGATCAAGACAAATTCAGGCCCAAAGCCCACCAAATTTTCCGGGCCCCTTACAAGACATTTTTGAAATTAAATTACTGAAGAGTAGTCCTAAAAATAAGAAAGAATCTATTGAACTGCATGATTCAAGAGAATCATTCTAAGAAATTTTAAAAGCAGACAATTGAAGATTATTTTTCTAAGAAAAAAGTTTATGTATCTATAAATTAAACAAAATATAAGGCAGCAAAACAATGATATATCAAAATAAAAATAGTTAGGTGGCCTCAAACAATTGAAATCAGCGACTTTTGCTAAAAGTAACTGATTAGCTGAATTATTTTTTATTATAAGCTATAATTATATTTTATTTAGTACTTAAACCAACACAAAGCTAGCCAACCTGTACTAATTTTTGAGGCCCCTCAGGAATTGTGGGCCTTAGGTCCATGCCTATTGGGCCTGGGTGATAATCAGGCCCTGCCCTCAATAGATCTGTAAATTTTGAAAGAAGCAAAAGGAGGTATCGATTGTAGCCTCCGTCCGTAGCCTTCCGCATTCGCCATTTAATGAATGTATTTAATTATATTTGATCCCTTATTTTTAGTATTAAAAATCGAAAAAAAATTTATTAAAATATATACTTAGAGCTACAAAGAAATTATACTAAAAAGAAATTATTATTAATTAAATAAAGAATTGAACTACTACTACTCCGATGGTGCTTTTTAAGTTTGAGCATTTTAAAATGATTAATATTAAACGAAATTCTCTCCTACATATATGTATTACGATGCACCCTCTCAATTAAGGTTGACCAGACATAGTATAGTTACCTACTTGCCCTTAACCTGATGCCTAATGAATTTTTTTGAAATAAATATTTAAGCTTTTTTTTGTGTATCTAGCTTCTTTTTTTTAAAAAAAGTTTCCGTAAGAATTATTATTTTCAATTCTGTTTTTTTTTCTTTTATATATATATATACAATTAAAGAATTAAAAGTTACTTTAAGAGCTATGATTCATTCAGATTTTAATTTTAAAAGATTTCATTATTATTGAATGCCAGATTTTTGTGTAATTAAAGTAGGCTACCACTCCCTGGTGGAAACGCAGAGGTAGACCAACAACCCTAGGGAAAGAAACATAGTTGAGGGTTTATTGGGTTCACCCATTTGACCAATAGCCAGTAACATTAATTTCTTAACCAAAATATGCAATAATGTTTTATGTTTGTGTTTGTTTTATGTTTGTAGCATGTTTTATGTTTGTAGCATTTTAATCGGTAAACTAATCTAACTTGGTGTGATAATGTTAATATTATCACAATAATTTAGATAAATGCTTAATTTAATAATTAAGCATTAATATAAGATAAATTTAGATGCTTCGTAAATTTCATTTCGCAACTAAGGTAAAATTAAGGTTAACATTATTATTATTTTTTCTAACATTAAATACAGGACATAGTTTTTCTTTGAGTTTAAGGTTCATGATATTTTATATTATTTTTTTAAATCGAGTCCATTTTTAAGTCCTTTATAGACTCCAATTCCTTAATTTTAAGTGTGGGTGGGACAAAACGAGTACATAATTAAAGAGTTTTATTAAAATTTTAATCGGCAATCTTATAAAGCATTTTATGCTGATGTTTAAGTTTTTATTAATATGGTTATTTTTATTTACTTAAAAATATATCTTACTTTTACATGATGGTAAAATATGAATTTTATTTATTCAGAAAATTACGTTTTGTCAATTTATACACAACAAAAAAGGTAAAAAAAAGCAATAAAGAGAGTATTTATATTTTAACAAATTACACTCTGGTAGCTTTTACATTTTTTTAAATCAATCTCAAAAACCATCATAAAACTATTTAAAATTTAAATTTAATTCAAAAGGAAACAAACCATTTGATTTTACTTACTTTTCTTTCAATTTTTCAATTGCCCCAGGGGGAATATCAGGCCTAGTAATTAATATTTTTGGCTTTGACATTCTTAAAATTTAATCTGCAAGCAAAACGCATTAATATCAAAATTTATTTTTAAAATTGGATTTTTGAACGTTAAGACTTTTATTTATATCCAATGGTTTTATGAAAATGATTCGTTCGATGAAATAAAAAAGGTATCAAAAATAGTCAACTGCTTATGCTGATTCATTAAAACTTTATTTAAACTCTAGAGAAAAGAAATAATTGTACTGCTCAGCATATAGTATTTTTTAACATTATTTGAAAACACATGAGAGGAGATACATCGTTTCATTTTTAAGAATGGTAATTTTTATTCTGCTAGTAGTTAATAGTAATTTTTATTCTGCTGGTATGGCAATTTTTATTCTAGTCATTGTAGTTGAAAAGAATTTTTAATGGCCATTTTCATAAATTATTAATTAATTTTATCAATCATTACCTTCATTTGGATACTTTCAGCTTGAGAAGATATGAAGTTATTATGCCTAACCATGTGATTTAAATCAGATTTAATAGGATACTTGTAAGCGACGCTACGCGTACGCGTGTGTCGAGCCTTTTGAATCGACAAATGCCACGATTTACCTAAGATGAAGAATTTTAAAAGTTGAACCGGCAATTTTAAAAGTCAAAATCGGAACTTTGAAATAAGTAGGTTAGAAAATTCAAGGCATATTATTTTGAATAAAAAGTTCTTTTTTACCACTTCGTTTTGTGCTTCTGAAGATAGGATCTTGTAATCAAAATATGGGCCATTTTTCGACTAACCAACTCTGACATCCAAATCTGTGCTGAAGCTCTGTGTCTGACGCAAAGTAAGTTTAAATCGTTTTTTTTTAATGTTACAAGCCGATTTTGTCGTCACACTATCGAAAAAAAAGAAAGAAAGAAAACGTGCAGTTAATTAAAATTTTTACCATTTTCAGACTAGCTAGAAAGCTAAAACTTTAACCATAATTCCTTGACTAAGCAAATTTCAATTGTTTAATGATTGCCACAAGCAAAATTTATTGCCTAATAGTCATTCAAAATTTTGACTTCCCGAAAAGTTAGAGCATTTAAATTTTGATCGTAAAACAGCACAAGTTTCAATTCGTTCCAGAACGCTACTAGTAAAATTTATTGCTTTTCTATCGCCAATAGGGGAACTCATCATCAATCAAAATTTATACAAATTGCAACTAGATTCTCTAAGGAAACTCCGAGCTTGATTAATAATTGTACAAACTTTAATCACCTTCTGACAGCACAATCAAGTTTTATTGCCAAATAGAATTTATCGGAAACCGAAATTTCGACTACTTTCCGACTTACTAGAATGAATAATTTAATTAATAAATCAAAAATTGTGTTCTTTATGCATGTGGCCCGACACCCTTATAACTTCTTAACTATTAATCCTATCAACCAACACCGCCTAGAAGAAAGAAGGCCTTCGCACGGGCTACCATAAACAAGAAATCCGATTCTTAGTAGTCCGAAAAGTTGTGACATTTTTCTTATTTTCCCCATACTGCATAGTTTATTTCCGTTCTTTCGGGTAACTAGAATGACACATGCGAAGGTTTTTTCTCTGCTGTGAGGTGTTGTATCAACTCGTTTATGTTTGGTTTCATTCGATTAAGCGAAAAGAAAATACGCAGGATTAAATACCTCATTTTTTAGAAAGATATGTTTAAGTTATGCTCTAAAAAGAGTGTGTAATACCACATGGTAATTGGAGGACTACTGGATCAAGATTTTCGAATACATTTCAATTTGTCTCATCGACTTTTTTTTTTTTTTTAATTTTTTCAATGTAAAAGACGTTATTGTTGTAATCGACAACAAAAGTATATGAGGGATAGTTTTAAGTAATGATAGTGCTGCATCTACATTTATAACAATATCTAGTAAAACTTGTAGATAGAAATAATTATGAAACATTTCTATAATTATCCTAAGAATTAAGTTTAAAAATTACTTTAACAAACTAGAATGCATTCTCCTACGAACCTCGGGTCATTTATATAAGCAATTTAGAAAAATTGTGAACAAAATTATGCTTGGGATTTACATTGTTTGATTAGCTGTACGACGAAGTTATCAGTAAGACTGCACTAAGAAATTAAAAAAAATAAATAAATATTGCCTTGATATAGGGCTAAAAGAAACTAAAAGAAACTATTTCATGGACAATATTTAATTTTTTTTTTTTATACAAACAAGTAATTATAACTCTTTTTAAATAAGAGAAGAAAACGCAAGTGTTTCCCATGCTAGTTAAAATAAATCATTGTGTCTAGTCATCACTTGTAGAATTTTTATTGAAAGTAGATGACCATGATATACTATGGGAAATGAGAACGGGAGAATTTCACTCAACCTCTGCTTATACCAAATTTTTGTGTTCTCATTTTTCAATGAAAAAGATTAATGGTCTTAATTGCTTACTTTTAGTTTGAAAAGCAACATAAAATGTTTAAATTATGGATATTATATCAAATTAACAAGCTCATAATTCTTAATCTCACCAGACAATGTAAATAACGAGAAAAATGCTAAAAAGCCAATTACTTTCCAGGAAGTTTGATAAAAAAATTTCTTTGTATAAATTTATTTTAATTAGTATGTCTTTTATTTTTCTGTGAAATCATATCAAATTACATCGATATATGCTATGGATTACAATTAAATTGATTAAATATTACTAATGTTTAGAGTTATAAAAATGCAGAACACAAATACGAAAACTTAATAAACAACAATTAAATTAATAATTAACTACTAAATGAATAATTAGCAAGTAAATTAATAATTAAATGAAAAATAGAAATTTTTTAAAATTAATTTTAAAAAATGTCTCAGTAACTAATATGTGAATTAACAAGTTATATGAAGCATAATGGAGGATTATTTATCTGCTAAGTCAACCTTCATTTATCAAAAGCTATCTAGATAGAATCAAGTTAACATGTCTTTAGTGAATTGGTATTTAATATTTATAGTGGTAGTTACGCCACATTCATTACTCCCCTTGCAGAGCTTTTTCTGTGATAGAATTCGACGAATGGACACCACTAGTTGATTCATGCTGTTTATTTAATTATATAAATTTTGCACATATTTTTTTCTTTAATGTTTTTATAACAAATCAACTGTTTTAATATAGATCATCCAACAATATTAGCAAGTTCTTATCACGTCCGGAGGTCGCCAACATATATGGCAACGTTACTTTTAAAAAGTAACGAGTAAAAGTACAAGTATTTTTAAAAAAAGTAACGAGTAAAAAGTAAAAAGTTCTTATTTTAAAAAGTAACGAGTAAAAAGTACAAGTAAAAGTACAAGTACTAAAC